ACACCAATAAGCTTCCCTAATAAAATTTCTGAAACATCCAAAGTTGAATCTTTTGTTATCAAAGCAACAATTTGAACTTTAACGGCGTAGTTGCAACAGGACAATTTTACACATTTCCCTAATCAGCTGCCTTGATTTTCTGCCAAGCGTCTCACACCTTTTTTTAATTTTGCTTGCGCTTTCCATAGTATAGTTTTTGGTCTTTGAGATCTCTGGCTGTGCAACATACGCCTTGGCAATGATGCTAGTGTTTATTTTCCGAGTAACAGTGGCAAACATTAAAAGGAAAGAAATTATGATATTATTGTTCCTTTTAATTTTCAGGCCATTAAAGTTTTCAAGTACGTATTTAATCTTCATTTGCTTTTTGGCTCATCCCAAAAATTTTTTATGCAGTAATCTCTTCAAAGCATATCTTATATCTACTTCATTCTTGAGATGCTGATAAATATGCCTAGAGGAATATTACGGTTTTGAGACAACAGTCTCCAGCAGTGTTGATCCAATGTTTAACTTTCAATTTGCAAAAGCTTTATTCAAACTACCATTCTACTTCAATACCAATATTTTTGTAAACAACAACCGTTCCTTTGAGCATCTATAACAGCGAATCCTTTCTTTCTACTGTTAATACAATATAAGCTGATATATAAGCATGTGATTGCTAGATTAAGCAGACATTTTACAATACTTAAGCAATATTAGGCATTTTGGTAGTTACAGTTCACTTCAAATATAGATATAAACTGATCTTATAGAAAGATTGAATGTGATTTTGTGTACAAAAGAACTAAAAGTTACTCTATTTTCTAACAAAATAGGAGAAATTTGTTAGCTGAGGACATTACAATAAAAAATTGTGCAAAAAAGTCTGTTTAATGGGAAGTCGAGGCTATGAATTTGGTTGGAAAGTCAATAGTTATAGTCACTGCCCAAAGTCTTGAAACACCAACTTGGGTTTTTGGAATTTTTTGGAATTCAATAGCCACTGAAAAATTGTTTGATTCAAGTTAGAATTTGCAGATGTTTGTCTGCTTAAAGTCCTATGCTACCGTAGAAATAATTTTATTGATGTCCAATAAAATTATTGAAAGTCTTTTTTTAGTACTATAAATGTCTTCTTCTCCCTAAAATGTCAATGTTTTAGAAGTGATCTGGTGGGCAGCACATATAATTTCTTGCAAACTGTTGCAGTAATTTAGCTACTCCTGCATTAAAATAGTGTTGGAAAAGCTAGATAAGTGACTTATGGTGTTGCAATGTCTGTTCAAAACAGAAATTTTATCAGATTTAGGTGGTCTTTTTCAATATGATCTAGACCAATGTCTCCCTCAGTTATAATAAAATTTTAAAAGGCTTTTACTTTTGAGAGCAATTGGATAGGAAAGAAATTTACGAAAACACCAAGTTTTAAAGACTGAAAAGAGTTTATTACATCAACAAAAATACATGTTATAAGCCTTGATGAAGATTCATTAAAATGTTAGCGCTCTTCAATTTCTATGTAATAGTATTTAATTTACATGAAATTTTGTCTTATTCCTTTTGCTGCTGGATCTATTTCATGGCTGCCTGGTGTATTTCATGCTTACGTGTTCAAAGTGTATAGTAGTTTCTTTCTGTGTTTATACACAATAGTGTATACAGAATCAATAGGATGAAGTACAGCATCTTAACCTTCTTTTGGCCATAAAAACTGTTTCCTTTTGATAGTACACACCAATAAGCTTCCCTACTAAAATTTCTGAAACATCCAAAGTTGAATCTTTTGTTATCAAAGCAACAATTTGAACTTTAACGGCGTAGTTGCAACAGGACAATTTTACACATTTCCCTAATCAGCTGCCTTGATTTTCTGCCAAGCGTCTCACACCTTTTTTTAATTTTGCTTGCGGTTTCCATAGTATAGTTTTTGGTCTTTGAGATCTCTGGCTGTGCAACATACGCCTTGGCAATGATGCTAGTGTTTATTTTCCGAGTAACAGTGGCAAACATTAAAAGGAAAGAAATTATGATATTATTGTTCCTTTTAATTTTCAGGCCATTAAAGTTTTCAAGTACGTATTTAATCTTCATTTGCTTTTTGGCTCATCCCAAAAATTTTTTATGCAGTAATCTCTTCAAAGCATATCTTATATCTACTTCATTCTTGAGATGCTGATAAATATGCCTAGAGGAATATTACGGTTTTGAGACAACAGTCTCCAGCAGTGTTGATCCAATGTTTAACTTTCAATTTGCAAAAGCTTTATTCAAACTACCATTCTACTTCAATACCAATATTTTTGTAAACAACAACCGTTCCTTTGAGCATCTATTACAGCGAATCCTTTCTTTCTACTGTTAATACAATATAAGCTGATATATAAGCATGTGATTGCTAGATTAAGCAGACATTTTACAATACTTTAGCAATATTAGGCATTTTGGTAGTTACAGTTCACTTCAAATATAGATATAAACTGATCTTATAGAAAGATTGAATGTGATTTTGTGTACAAAAGAACTAAAAGTTACTCTATTTTCTAACAAAATAGGAGAAATTTGTTAGCTGAGGACATTACAATAAAAAATTGTGCAAAAAAGTCTGTTTAATGGGAAGTCGAGGCTATGAATTTGGTTGGAAAGTCAATAGTTATAGTCACTGCCAAAAGTCTTGAAACACCAACTTGGGTATTCAAAGGCAAATCAGCCATACACTCTCCCCCTTTGGATTTACATTATAAAAATGAATGGGGCTATGGGGTATCCTTTTTCTTGTGGTTTGTTTGACATTTTTCTTTACTTTCAATATTTTTTGGGGGTGGAGTTAGGGGGACGTAAGTAATATTATTTTGAAAAACGACCGAAAAACAGAAAATTACAGCACACATTGATGTGTGTTTCAATTAATTTTGGCAGTCATTGTACCTAGCTAGCTTACCAGGGAATCGTAATGTTTTCTAACCATGGTTCTAACTTTCTGCTCGTACACAATACTTGCTACATATGCCAGATAGTAGATACATCTATTGTGTTATTTTTTTTGAAAAGATCCACCTCTGGCAAAGGCTCACTTTTTAAGATATCAACTCCATTCGACTTGGACCAAATCAGCCACTGAAAAATTGTTTGATTCAAGTTAGAATTTGCAGATGTTTGTCTGCTTAAAGTCCTATGCTACCGTAGAAATAATTTTATTGATATCCAAAGTCTTTTTTTAGTACTATAAATGTCTTCTTCTCCCTAAAATGTCAATGTTTTAGAAGCGATCTGGTGGGCAGCACATATAATTTCTTGCAAACTGTTGCAGTAATTTAGCTACTCCTGCATTAAAATAGTGTTGGAAAAGCTAGATAAGTGACTTATGGTGTTGCAATGTCTGTTCAAAACAGAAATTTTATTAAAAGAGATATGACTTCCTCAATTAACTCTGCAAAGTTAAAACCATTATTTTATCAATGCAAAAGCTTTCCAGCTTTATAGAAAAAGTTTTTTGCAACGCTGGCTACCCCCTGCGATTTTTTAAATTAAAACCAAGACAGTGGAGGGATTCATTTGCAAATGGTGGCTCTTTAGCAAAGCTGCCTGATCCTTTTGAATCCAGTTGCTTAAAATTCCTTAGGAAGCGATTTCTTGGCTGGTGTGTGCTGGAATGTCCATAGGTGTCTCCATGAAAGTAAACGGCACATCATAGGAAAAATGACAGTTACCCACATCTTCCTCCATCTCTCCAAACTCTGTGAAGAAGGTGTCCAAAGAATAAAGAGTAACTGCCTGGCCCAGAGTCGATCCTCCCAAAAACAGAACCAAAACATTTGTCATTGCATTAAGGGCCAAGAGTCACATCATGGCACTTCTCAGCATCTGCATACAGTAGCTTCTTTTTCCCTCTGTGCCTCATTTCCACTGTATAGTCCTGTGATGGAATGACAGAGATTGAATTAAACAATTCGTTGACATAGAGACAAATCTTTGTGCCTCTCAGGGTGCTTCTTAGCTGAGGTTTCAGAAACACCCAATCTCAGCCCCCTTTATTGTACTCTCCCAAACGCGTAGCATTCTCTTGTTAAGAATAATCAAATGGCCCAGCCTGGCGCAATGCCACCCCTTTTCCACACTACCTTCCCTACATTGTTTTGAAAAGACAGCTTCTGAAAGCTCAGAAGATGTATACTCTGGAAAGTCCAAAAATGCAACACAGAAAAGCAAAACCCTGTCTGATAAGCTCTTCACCAAGGTAATGAATACCACTTATACCGCACCTCTGAAAGAGGATATGGACAATGAACCACCCGCGAAAGCCATTGGCTAGGTTGCCTTCTCTGAAACACCCTTTTGCGCAAGCAATGTGCAACTTCATCTCTGGATGCTTCCAAACAGGAGAATGAGTGCACAAGAAACCTACCCACTTGCTGAAAGATCCTATTTTGGGCAGCATGAGAATTGTTTAATGCACCCATGAGCACGTCCAACTCAGCATTGTTTTCCAATGTAGTGTTGGAAATCCAATGTAGTCAAAAGAATTTCAATAAAAATTAAATCTACTAAATGATTCTACTTCGGCTGGCTTCATCAACCATTCTTGATAGTATAATTTAGGCAGCCAGAGTTAAATGTTATGATATAGAATTAAATGCAACTCAAGTTCCTATTGCAGAATTTCTAATGAAAAGCGAAAATATATATAGCTAAGGTGAACTGGAATACTCACTTGCAATTGGGCCTGCATGTGCCTCAATTGTGTTTTTTCCGCTATTTCCTGCCAACTTTTTGTTAGGCCCCCTTTTTTAGAATATATTTTGCTGCCACTATGAGGCTTTGAATATGATTGACGACTGTACCCACATTTAGCTCCCTCCTCAATTCTGCCACATATACGCTAACAAAGTTGATGTTTGTAGCATCCTCTATTTGTGGGGTTCTGTTATACGTTTATTACATGCTGAAAGAACTTCTTTAACCTTCTTGTGTGGTTGATTGTCCCTGCTGTCATACCGTTTGATGGTCTTAATGGGTTTATTTCATCTGTGTAGAATTCCCGAAGCTTCTCAAAGGATTCCAGTACCTACACTGTCTTGTGCACTTGCACAAGACCTTAATATTTTGCGAGTCCAAGTGAGAGATCAGTGCTGTGTATATCCTGGTTCTGTTGGTGTTATGTGTGAAGGCAGGCGACAAGCTGATTGTAGAGTTGGGACCAACTTTTGATAAAATCTTGCAGTTTCTCAAAGTGTATCTTCTGCAATGTCTCCCAATCATCCCTGTCAAAGCCAAGCATTCGGGCAGCTTTGTTCAGCATTGCAGGTAGCTGCCCTTTCTCAGTCAAGGAAATCACCTTTAAATCCTCCGGAATTGCTGCTTTTGCTGCTGTGGATGCCATTGCTCACGATGTAGAGGCTTCCCCTGATGTAGCTGGCATTGTACCTTTAGCTACAGGCAATGATGCTGCAGAAAATTGCCGTGCCTTCCCCTTGGATTCAGCTGATTCCTTGAAGTGAGTCATCTTGGAAGTAAGCTTTGGGGTAGGGAGTTTTTCATTTTGTGAATTATCTAATGGACGGCCATCGCCCATCACTTCTTTGACAATTCGATCAGACATCAACTGTGAGCTTTGCTCTTCAGCCTCAGCTTCAACTTCACTTCCATCTTCTTTGCTTGAAGGCAAGTGGCTTACACATCTTTTCTGTTGGCTTGCCTGATTTGAGGAAAATCTCCCACTTGTTAAGAGATTTCCTCTCTTCATCAACAGACTGCTCGTCAGCAGTGTCTCTTGTTGCGTTGAGAAAGCAAGAGTAATCTTGCTTCCAGCATCCGATGCATGCATTTAACTGCTCACAACTTTTGAATGTGTGTGCCTTTGGGTGTGCAGCCGTAGGCCGTTTGTTGTTTTCTTGCAGCCTGCACGGTAAACGCAGTGTGTCATAGACACGCTTCTTGAAATCGAATTCTAGTGGCCCAATCACCGTTGGTTGCGTGGAAAATGCAGCAGGAAAGAAGTCTTCGTGTGCTCGATTGTCTCCAGAAATTATACTAGCGTGGCTGTCGCTTTCATTTTGACTGTCAGAGTGACTGTCTACTTGCATGTTATGCTTCTGCTGCAGGTCTTTGACAAAGGCAAGGGCTTCTTTATGCTCAATACCAGCCTTGTTCATCATGCTGCAAAGACAGACCGAGTTTTAAGGTTATCAATCATAACTTTGTCATGTTTTTGAACTGTGTTTTTGATTTGAAGAACTAAACAGAAAATTGATAATGCCTTTATCCCCTGTTGAGGTTCTATTGCTTCAAACAATGGGAAGTTTCCCTTCTTAGAGATTAGACATTCCCCTCTTCCTGCTCCCTCCCAACTCCTCTCCTCTTATCACTAAGTATGAAGCTTGTTGCTAAATATGCTGCCAAGAGACCATTGATGCAATAGGCATATGATAGGGAACGACACATACAGATGGGTGTGCAGGTTTATAGTAATTCTTTTATAGGAAGGGTTGCTCAATTCTCTTAACAAAAGGTGGACTAAGCTAGAATCAATGTTCAGATGTAGCTATCTGTTTGCGCAACCCAAATGAATGGCAAAAAGTTGTTAATGTCACCTTGTTTCTGGCAGCTTCTCCAGCGACATTGCCGTGTCCGTTATGAAACTAGGGTGGCTGTTACAACTGTAATCCTCCTTGTCGTCGCTCATAGCACCGTCATGTGCTGCTTCTGCTATTATGAACAATGAGGCTTTGGACTTCCTTTCTAAAAAGAGGTTATATCCATTATTATTTACAGACCTACATACAAATAATCACTTTAGAAAGCAACTGTGTTGGATATGTTGATAAACTGCTTCTTCTAACATGGATTGGTATTATGGTCAGAAAAGTAAATAGAGCTTTCCGCAATTCAATCAATTAACCTTACTTAATGAAAAATGACACAGGCAATAATCCAAACGTGCATATAAAGATTGAAAAAAGGCAAAGGCAAGTGATTATGATTAGTGATTATGATTGCAAAATCATGGTATAACCTTGCCTTTTGATAACCATCCATCTCTTTCGACGAAATTATCCTGTCCCTCATCAATTTCAGTGTTTCTAAAGCCTGTCTCCATTCAAATATCTTTCTTTCATCGGCTCCCAAGTACCTCTGTCTTCGCTCTCTTTCATAGAGGCTCTAAAAAACAGTGGTAAATTGAAACTAAAAATTTCAAAAAGTGATGTGTAAAATGTATGTGTAAATACAAAGGAACGCAGGATATGCTGTCCGCTGATTAAAATAGGAATAATAGCCGGTAACTAAGACACAGGAAGCTGAAAATCCAATGTAGTCAAAATAATTTCAATAAAAGTTAAATCTACTAAATGATTCTACTTCGGCTGGCTTCATCAACCATTCTTGATAGTATAATTTAGGCAGCCAGAGTTAAATGTTATGATATAGAATTAAATGCAACTCAAGTTCCTATTGCAGAATTTCTAATGAAAAGCGAAAATATATATAGCTAAGGTGAACTGGAATACTCACTTGCAATTGGGCCTGCATGTGCCTCAATTGTGTTTTTTCCGCTATTTCCTGCCAACTTTTTGTTAGGCTCCCTTTTTTTAGAATATATTTTGCTGCCACTATGAGGCTTTGAATATGATTGACGACTGTACCCACATTTAGCTCCCTCCTCAATTCTGCCACATATACGCTAACAAAGTTGATGTTTGTAGCATCCTCTATTTGTGGGGTTCTGTTATATGTTTATTACATGCTGAAAGAACTTCTTTAACCTTCTTGTGTGGTTGATTGTCCCTGCTGTCATACCGTTTGATGGTCTTAATGGGTTTATTTCATCTGTGTAGAATTCCCGAAGCTTCTCAAAGGATTCCAGTACCTACACTGTCTTGTGCACTTGCACAAGACCTTAATATTTTGCGAGTCCAAGTGAGAGATCAGTGCTGTGTATATCCTGGTTCTGTTGGTGTTATGTGTGAAGGCAGGCGACAAGCTGATTGCAGAGTTGGGACCAACTTTTGATAAAATCTTGCAGTTTCTCAAAGTGCATCTTCTGCAATGTCTCCCAATCATCCCTGTCAAAGCCAAGCATTCGGGCAGCTTTGTTCAGAATTGCAAGTAGCTGCTCTTTCTCAGTCAAGGAAATCACCTTTGAATCCGCCGGAATTGCTGCTTTTGTTGCTGTGGATGCCATTGCTCACGATGTAGAGGCTTCCCCTGATGTAGCTGGCATTGTACCTTTAGCTACAGGCAATGATGCTGCAGAAAATTGCCGTGCCTTAGGGCTGATTTATACGTCGCGCTTATCTCGCACCAAATCTAATATAATTAGAACCGACGAAAGCGCGAGTTTGGCGCGACAAAGGAGTTTGATTTTGATTTAGACGATGAACTTTCGTCGTGCCAATAGCAAAATACACTTCTGCGAGTTGCCAGCCACAGGGAACCAATAAACTGAAAACACTCGAAGCAAAGACAAATCACGTATGGCGCCCTTCACGCATCTAAAGAAAGTGCTTCTTCTGAAGTCGCTTATTGGAGCCAGGAGAAGACGACAGAATATGCAAGCAATGATGATTAATTTGATGAACAGAAGACGGTGTAGGCTTTTGCGGATTCTTTTTTTGCTACAGTTGATTCTTACTGGTTTACAACAAGCAGTTGCAGTGCCTATTAGGCCTAGGATAAGATCATGCCGTAGGTTGCAGCGAAACACTGGTTGGTGGAACCTCGTTTGGACAGTATATTCCGAGAAAAGGTTTAAAAAGACATTTAGAATGACTAGGCAAACATTTTCCTTAATTCATGATAGAATCAAGGATGATTTAACGAAGGAGAGCGTCACAGAAGAACCAATTCCATCCCAGATGAGACTAGCAATTTGCTTGTATCGACTCAGTAGAGGAGACTACTACAATACCATTTCAGAGCTAGCTGGTGTCGGTGAAACAACTGTGTGCAACATAGTGAGAGAGGTAGCTAAGGCAATCATTGAAAATTTATGGGAAGAATTTGTTGAGGCCAAATTTCCACATAGCAAGGACACACTGAATGAGAAAATGAAAGAAATGGAACAAGAATGGCAGTTTCCTTTTGCATATTCTGCAATTGATGGGTGTCACATACCAATTAAGTGCCCACCTGGTGGCCAAGAGTCATGTAAAGAATTTCATAATTTTAAGAATTTCTACTCAATCGTTCTAATGGGAATGGTAGATGCCAAATATCGATTTATATGGGCAAGTGCTGGTTGGCCTGGCAATTCACATGATGCCATAATCTTTCAAGCAACAAACCTTTATACCAAACTAGCTGAAGGTACAGCCTTTCCACCTATTGCCCATCATGAGAATGGCGTCAGTATTCTACCTTTAATCCTGGGAGATTCTGCCTTCCCCTTCAAGCCTTGGCTGCTGAAGCCTTACACAAATGCTACACTGATGCCAGAGCAGAGCTATTTCAATTATAGGTTGAGTCGAGCACGCATGGTAACAGAGTGTGCATATGGACAACTGAAAGGTCGATGGAGAGTCTTGCTCAGGAAGTCTGAGAATGATAAGGAAACAGTACGTGCAGTTACACTAGCTTGTGTAGTACTACATAACATTTGCATCGAACAAGGAGATTTGGCTCAAAGGCAATGGGACCTCTCCAAAGATTCAGCATCAAATCAAAGACGTACACAAGAAGAAGTCCAAGACCTTCTTATGATAAGGCAATGCAGACCTCTAAGAGATACAAATCGTTCTGCAGCACAGGTTCGTGATTATTTGAAAGACAAGTTATTTTTAGAAAAGCAGCAAGTTTAGGGGATGCAAAGCTCCCATACTTTCAATACTCTCCCTCCCTTAATAGTATCCCCCTAACTCCAAAATTTTACAAAATTACCATCTATTTCCATTTATTAAAACCCCCCTAAAAAGGAAAAAAATGCTTTTTTCCATCCACCCCCATTTATTAGACAACACCCCAAAGGCTATTGGCAGCTATTTTTGATATTTTGCAAGATTCAAGGGGCTATTAGAAGCACTGATTGGCTTTTACCCCATTTGAGAGCAGAACGCTGATAGGTTGTTTACATTTTTCCTCCTTGTTATATGAATTGGTATAGTATCTTTTAGTATCGAAATATCTTTTCAACAAAATGTAAAAAAGGTAATGTTACCCCCCAACTATTAACATCACACCCCTATTTAAGCGCTGCATGACAAAATCAACCCATTTCCATTTATTAACACCCTCCACAATTATTTATCCTGGGCAAATTTCCAACTGCCTCTTTTTAATAAGTCCCCCCTACTATTAGGGGATGGAGAGTAAGCTGCATCAGCTTTGGAAAACTGACAAAGTTTCAATTATAATTCTTGACAATTGTGATTTCTGGAGCCACTTTGACACTATTTATACACTACTTATGTTCTTATGTTGTACATTGTAGTTTGTATTAAATAATGTTTCTTTTGTAATTACTTGTAGATTGGATTTAGGATTAATTGATAGATGAATGGAAACTGAAACTGAAAACTGAAACTGAAATATGATGTGATTCTAAATGTTTATAGCTGAAATAAATCATCTGACTGGGATTGATGTTCAAAGTTTTGATTCCTTGGAGGATAATTATCTTGTGGAGTAAATGCTTGTCGAAATTGTTGTCTTGGATCCATACTGTATGACTGCTGCATGTTTTGGGGGAAATGTTGATAAGGAGGAGGCTGTGGAACTGGTGGTTGGAATTGCTGCTGTGCTTGATTTCCATTGAACATCATTGTGAGTAATCTCATTTCATGTTCTCTTGATCTTTGATTCTCTCTCTCAAGAAATGCTAGCATGTCAGCCATTGGGTCCTTTTTTAGCTGCTCAGTGACCTCAAGGATTGCTTTTGATGTTATTTTTACCAGATCATCAAGCTTTTCCTTTTTTCCAGCTGCCTTTTTGATGGGAACAAATGGCCTCTTCTTTGAAGGAAGATTTGCTCTTGTGGGAGTTGAAGTTCCTGAGGAGGTCTCTGGTGAAGGACCTTGGCCAAACTCATTGTTGTTGTAGCCCCCCTCTTCATTTAAATGATTCACTTCAGTTGAGGTTGGACTTCCTTCTTGACTGTCATGTGAACAAGTTGATGGTTCAATGGCCTGCTCTGGCTGACAAGATTCTCTGGACTTGACAAGAGGCAGCAGTTGATTAAACCATTTCCATAGTCCTGTCCTCCTGAAATCGCTTTATGCCAGATGCAGATTTGCAGGTTAAGGCAGCCTTCTTGCACTCACTCACGCACTTCTTGAACTTATTTCTAGTTTGGACAAGGCTGAACTTGTATTCTTGTCTCCTAGCCTGGCAACGTTTCTCCACCTCTTTGATTACCTCAAAATGTAAACACAAAAGTTGCAAAAGGAATCAGCATTTTAAGTAAAGTAAGACAATTTGTTCCACAGAGTATTGCTAAACATATACAATGCATTTGAACTACCAAATATTCTTTACGGTCTTTTAAATTGGGGAAATGCATCTAAAACCACTCTTGACCCAATTAATAAAAAAATAGAAAAGCCATAAGATTAATAACATTTAAAAGTAAAACTGAGCACAGTGAACCTCTTTTCAAATATCTAAACCCTCTTGATCTTGAAGATTGTTATAAATTCAAATGTGCTAAAATTTTGTACAATTTAAATAGTAACATTTATAATACTACTTTTGGGAAATTATTAAAAAAAATCCAAAGACATTCATAACTTTAAAACAAGGCATGCTACATCAGGGAAATTTTTCAAACCATCCTTTACAACAAGCTATGGTAAAGGTTCTATAACAAATTCTGGTGTTGATATTTGGAATTCCATTCCAAAAGATAGAAATTCCTGATTTCAAAATACTAGAACCTATGAGTTATATATCGATCAAATTCATGTAACTAAAATGGCTCATGGCTCGAAAGCCCTCTCTGGGTTATTTCCATGAGTCATTCAGCTTTGTTTATTACATGAGTTGTTAAAATAATTATAATATTGTAATATCACGCTGAGAATACACAAAAAATTCAAATTACCTTCAAATAAATTTCTCCGTTCTTGCTAGTCTTTGTGTTTGTAAAAATCCGTTTTTTGCGAAAATACTCATTATCGCAGATAACGTCCACTAGGTCGTTTGTTATGTCCATTGGCCACGATGACTTCTTCCCGGCCTTTTTCTTTCGCTTTTCAAACAACACATTACATGCCTCTTCCGCTTCACTTTCTGACCCAAAACTCCCTCTTTCGTCCTCATTAAAAATTTCGGATTCCACGCCAGCTTCCTCACTTTCGCTGCCGCAATCCACGCTATTGCTTACATACACGTCTGTTTCTGCCTTTTTTCTTCAGAGATGAATACAAGAAGCAAGAACAACCCAACTATACTTTGGCGCCAACAAAAACTTAGCACCACTGCGCTTGCGCAACTAATGTATTTGACGGACTGGAAAAAACACTATTTGATT